TTTAAAGGCGATTTTCTCAGTATTTGGATTTTTTTGCACCCTCAGATTCCAGATTTTCAAATAGTTGTATCTTGGCCAAATATTGTCCTATCCTAACAAACCATACATCAATGGAAAGCTTATTTATTCACCTTTCAGATCATGCATAAATCTCAATTTCGAAAAATTGACCCTTATGACTGGTTTTGTGGTCCAGGGTCACATATGATGAACAGAATTTAGCCTTTATTCCCCTTTTTTTATTCACAGAACAAACCTCAATGGCACAAGCTTCCGTATTTGCTATGTGTATGTTTGTGTGCAGTCATTGTTTAGATGTAAATAAAAGCCTAAATTAAATCACAAAGCAATTGTATCTCTTCACAAACTTCATTTGATTCATATGGATTTGCTTTACATCATTTACTTTATGCCTTTTTTCAATCTTTAAAGCTTTGGTTATCTGTACTTTCATGTTTCAGAGGAACAGAAACCTCTCAGGTTTTATTTAAAAATATCCTAATTTGTGTTTCAAAGATTAACCTTATGGCTCTTATGGGTTTGGAATGACATGAGGGTGAGTAAATTATGACAGAATTGTTATTTTTGGGTGAACTATCCCTTTAAGGAGCCAAATCAACCACCCACCAATATACCTACTAATGAGCAAATGTAAGGGTTCACAGAAGGTTGCGATATTTGCTTTACACGCAATTTAGTCTTGCATCTGCATAAAGTAGAAGTCAGAATCATCTTACCTTGTCCTGTCTGACAACGACGGCCACTCTCGAAAGAGAAGAGGTTGGAATCATAACCGTATCGGCGCAGACAAAGGTATGGCCACCGGATGGCATCACGTTTGCGTGTGTGCAGAATGAGCTCTGTCTGTGTGAGCTCCATGGTTCCTGAGCCCAACTCATTTCCCTCATCGTCCACATTAGTCACCTGTCAGACATAACAGGTTATCACAGAACCAAACAGAGCTCTACTAGGTTAACCATGTAACTATTCTCAAATGCTGCACTTAAAATTAATATTTACCAACACAGTGCTTTTTAAGGTTTGTTTTTATCATAAAGTGTCTTGTGAAATGCACCTTAAATTTGTTGAGATGGTTGTCTCGGATAGTGTCTCTGTATAGACAGCTCCAGCAGCTCCCCATAGCTTCAGCAGGCCAGCTGAAACCTTAAACAGGGACAAACGGGTCAGATATTGCAGGGACTACAGGTACATCTCAAATTTGAATATCATGAAAAAAGGTCAATATTTTTTGTCACTCATTTCAGAAAGTGAAACCCATATATTACATAGATTCATTACACATAAAGTGAAATATTTCAAGCCTTTATTTCTTGAAATGTTGATGATTATGGCTTACAGATAATGAAAACCCAAAATTCAGTGTCTCAGAAAATTAGAATATTGTGAAAAAGTTCAATATTGGAAAGTCATGGTGTCACACCCTAATCAGCTAATTACCTCAAAACACCTGCAAAGGTTTCCTGATCAAGAGCCACTACGCACAGACGAATCCTAGACATGGGCTACAAATGTTGCATTCCTCGTGTCAAGCCACTCCTGAACCAGAGACAACGTCAGAAGCGTCTTACCTGGGCTGTGGAGAAAAAGAACTGGACTGTTGCTCAGTGGTCCAAAGTCCTCTTTTCAGATGAAAGTAAATTTTGCATTTCATTTGGAAATCAAGGTCCCAGAGTCTGGAGGAAGAGTGGAGAGGCACAGAAACCATGTTGCTTGAAGTCCAGTGTGAAGTTTCCACAGTCAGTGATGATTTGGGCTGCCATGTCATCTGCTGGTGTTGGTCCACTGTGTTTTCTGAAGTCCACAGTCAACGCAGCCATCTACCAGGAAATTTTAGAGCACTTCATGCTTCCTTCTGCTGACAAGCTTTATGGAGATGCTGATTTCATTTTCCAGCAGGACTTGGCACCTGCCCACACTGCCAAAGGTACCAAAAGCTGGTTCAATGACCATGGTGTTACTGTGCTTGATTGGCCAGCAAACTCGCCTGACCTGAACCCCATAGAGAATCTATGGGGTATTGTCAAGAGGAAGATGAGAGACACCAGACCCAACAATGCAGATGACCTGAAGGCCGCTATCAAAGCAACCTGGGCTTCCATTACACCTGAGCAGTGCCACAGGCTGATTGCCTCCATGCCACGCTGCATTGATGCAGTAATTCATGCAAAAGGAGGCCCAACCAAGTATTGAGTGCATAGAAATGAACATACTTTTCAGAAGCCTGACATTTCTGTTTAAAATATCCTTTTTTTTATTGATCTTATGTAATATTCTAATTTTCTGAGACACTGAATTTTGGGTTTTCATTATCTGTAAGCCATAATCATCAAAATTTCAAGAAATAAAGGCTTGGAATATTTCACTCTATGTGTAATGAATCTATATAATATATGGGTTTCACTTTCTGAAATGAGTGACAAAAAATATTGACCTTTTTCATGATATTCTACTTTTTTTTAGATGTACTTGTACATGGAGACAGCTAAAAATTAATAAGCAAAACATTTAGAATTGTTTTATTTATGTAAAATAAATAGGTAATGCATGAAGAGACAAAAAAGGTACACTTATATGCTCACCTGGTCCAGGCCATCAGTGGGAGTGATGCTTGCGTCAATCCCAGAATCCTCTGCTGGGTGTCATGGCGGAAGTGGGGTGTGCTGGTAAGAGCATCCAGTCCCAGTGCACAAATGTTTCATTTCTCCTATGAAGCAGAGAAAATGAAAGGACTTGATGTACAATCCTTTGAGTATACTGTACTCTTTTTCAAAAATGCCCGAGCTGTGATTGAGACACAGGGAATGAAGTTGCTCTTTCTCTTCCGACTCCCACTGGATAAATAAAACGTAATTACTTTATACTGGGAACCTTATTCTCAAGTGGAATCAGCTTACAACTCATGGTTTCACCTTCAGCCTATATGATGTGCACAGATACGGTCTAAATAACCACAACTAACTTATATTTCAGGTGGCTTCGGGAAAGGAAACAAAGCTATCAGTTCTGTGCTATTCCAATTTAAACGGGTTGGTTCACCCCAATTTTATTTAATTTCATCAAATCATTTACACTCCCTTAAGATATTTGGAAGATTGTAACCAAACAGTTGCTTGTAGCCACTGACTTCCACAGTATGTGAAAAAATACCATGGAAGTCAATGGCTATCAGCTGTTTGGTTACTTAACATTCTTCACAATATCTTCTTTTGTGTTCAGTAGAAAAAAGAAATTCATACAGGTTTGCAACAACATGAGGGTGAATAAATCATGACAGAATTCTCATTTTTTGGGTGAACTATGCCTTTAACGTCAAAAATTATGCAGGCACGTAGAAACACAGAAAATGTAAAAAAAATTGAACTTTTAAGTGCATGATCCCGCTACAAAAAGTTAGATTTTTTTTTCTGTATTATTTATGTATACATTGAGATTTTGTGTTAATATGAAATACTAAGAATCCATCTAAACAAAAACCTCTATACAGACCATATTTATGCATTGCTGTATTTATGTATTAAATCAGTTAAGGTACTGTAAGGATGCATTATTATATTAAAACCCACAGACAAAATTCCAACAGGTGTCTCTACTTTCTCTAAGTGTGGATTTTTGACTCTGTGTTGTGTTCATCATCGCTTAAAGTAAAACACTATAAAACTGTAAATGTTTGTGTCTATCAATTAAAAAACAAAGAACAATTTCTGCAACTATAAGCAGTGCAAGTTCAAAAGCACTGATCAACACAGCAGTTCATCAGAAAATCTGTTCAAACTTTTGTGGATCCTCCATTCGAGAATATGCTGGACCACATCAAAATTCTCACAATGCTCTGATTTTCTGCACACTTGTTTTAAAAACAGGTTTATTTGTCATAAAAAGGAAAAACAGTCTACTTCTGCTAAAATGAAAACTGAAAGAAAAACTTTAATGACAAGTGTTTCATGTCATTTTTAAATAGCAGTAGTTTCATAATGACTTCCATAGAAATGTCAACTCAAATCAAATTCCATACTACTACATTCACAAGTTTATGAATGCCAAAGTTATATTAAAGGAAATTTCTCTCAAGTATTAACTACTATATACACAATATAATGATAATATAAAATAAATTGTATAATTATAGCCTACCGGTTGACTTTTTTTATGTCTAATATTAACATCAACATTAACCGGACTCAAAATTAATAATCCAGTGCCCATGCTGATCAATATAGCATCATGAGCATTTCAAAACAGCAGCATAACTCAAGAAAATGAAGCATGCGTGATTAAATGCAATAAGGTTAATGGTGGAAAGATGTCAGCATTTTTAAAAGTGTCCCAGACCCTTCAGTACCATTCATGTGCAATTCATTCATAAAGTTTGTCATGCACATGAAGGCCCAGTCATAAAGTTGTTTTCCACATACACCCAAATTAACAAACAGTATATCTGTGCCATGTACACAGAAAATGGAAATAATAGATTGATAAAACATTTAATATTTTATCTCTTTTGGTTACTGATATGTCAATATCAATATGAGCATGTCAGTTCATAACATCAGGCCACACAACGTCTCGTGCCTCACACAGCAGTTCGCACAGTCGAACCTGAAATCCACATTTGATTCTCTGAAGTCTGTCATGCAGGACCAGACGCGTTTGGCACCTGGAAAATTGTGTTTTTGTCTGCAGTTTATGCAAGAACCCAGAATCTAACATCCAAATCTCGTGCAGCAGGTCTCCCGAATAGACACTGAGTGACCAACAGATGCAACTTGAACGTCTTGTAGCGCATCACCGCCAAGAATCAGTCGAAAAACCGGATAAATGCAGCACAAATCTGCAGGACTAGCTTTTCTAATGCTAAGACAGAAAAGCAAAGTAGAAGTCGAACCAGTAAAAGCAACACTTGCGGCGTTCAAGGATATGGCTCGCTATGTTCCAGCCTTTGTATCAACGTTAGTGTTACACTACCACTAATCGTTTGCAGCTGGATGCTAGTAACTATTGTGTATCAAACACAGCACATTCACGCAAACTAATGAGATGAATGAGAGCAGGATGCGATCGAGCTCGCGCTGTACCAGCAGCATCAAAACACGTTTAGGCTACTGCAGAACAATTCAGCTGCGGTTGCTACTCACATGTTTGGCAATGATTGCAATACGAGACGAGACAGATGAAGGATGCGAACAGCAGTCCACGGCGGATCGGACTTGGCGGTCGGCGTGCTGGTCGTTTTTGATGCTTACTCTAGTGGCAAGACTAAGAAAAGGCGAATTGCGTGAAAATATAACAATAAAGCCAATTGTTTTTTCCCCGTAACGCCCCCTTGCTGCGGCACGGGCCTCTCGTTGACATTTCCCGACCACCAGGGTGAGAGTTCAGGCAGACAACGAGGGCTGCTGGAGCGACACGAAGGTAGAATATGCTGGAGGACCAGAAGATGAGGTGTGAATGTGTTTGAGCATCACACGATGACGTATTGGCAGCAGCTCTATTTAAATCCACCTTGCTGTCATTTAAGACAGACAAATCCAATTCTCATTGGTTTAATGCGTACGGCATTCTCGCGAACAGGTGTTTTACGATTAGGGAAATGGCTAAAACTTTATTTCTAAATCGTCTGTAACTGTGCTATGTTCATTTCTTAGGTTATGAGTAACTGTTAAAGAGTTTATTGAAAAAGAATAGAAATTCAGCTGCATGAATGTGGAAAACGTTTAACTCAAATCCATTTGATCAGTATGTGAGCCAATGTAAAAAATAAGCATGCACTAGGTGGTATAAAAAAGAGAAATCTTTTTAACACTTAGCTTTTAGAAACTGCATTTTTATATTCATCTGTTTCATACATTAAAAAAAAATACCAAAAATATTTTGTGCTAAAATAGGTTATTGCACTATGAATCATCTTTGATTCTTTGTCACAAAAAGGTCATATGTGACCCTGGACCACAAAACTAGTCATAAGGGTAAATCTTTTGAAATGGATATTTATACGTCATCTGAAAGCTGAATAAATAAGCTTTCCATTGATTTTTTAGGATGGGACAATATTTGGCTGAGATACAACTATTTGAATATCTGGAATCTGATGGTGCAAAAAAAAAAATCGCCTTTAAAGTTGTCCAAATGAAGTTCTTAGAAATGCATACTACCAAATCAAAAATTAAGTTTTGATATATTTACGGTAGGAAATTTACTAAATATCTTCATGGAACACGATCTTTACTTAATATCCTAATGATTTTGGGCATAAAAGAAAAATCGATAATTTTGACCCATACAATGTATTGTTGGCTATTGCTCCCCGTGCTACTTATGACTGGTTTTGTGGTCCAGGGTCACATATATCTGATATTTTAAAATATTTTCTGAGTGACCGCTTAAATGTTTTCTTATTTATGGTAAAGTAACCTGAGGTTGTACGTCAGTGTTATGGCATATATTTTTCAACCTCAGATCATTGTTTACTGAGGCTGATAATATATAATTATGAAATGAATCCTGACTGTAAATCTTAGTCTTTCTCAGACACAGCATACAACTAAAGTAAATGGATACATCAGCTTCATGTATCAATTACATGTCTGTCAGCCTGTAAAGGGCAACAACAACTGCAAGTTTGATCAAATTGAAGTAGTTAGAGGCATATCAGTGGGATAGAATAAGTTTGTTTTACATGGAACGCGATCCCTCGTTGTGGCAACCATGTTAGGTCACATGATTTCACAATACAATCCATTTCCAATATACTAAATCAGTCTCACATTATGGAAGTAAAATGTGTTGAGAATGGCAATTCACATTGACTTTCTTGTTCAAGTGCACTATAATGAAAATGTATGGATCGCCCGTTTCAGGGATTTAACCTGCAACCTCTACGTAACAATGCTTTTTCTTCCCAGAAAGTGTGACATCCAGCATTTTGAATTCAACTAGCTCAAAGCATATATGACATTTTTGACGGAAAATCCCCAGATGACCACAGACAATATAGGGAAACGTTTCAGACTTTTCATTTGCAAATAGCATTGCTTTAATCGTAAGAAACAGTGCTTTCGTCTGAGAAGATAGCACTATAAAAAGTAGTGAAAAAGTCTTCAACATATTCATTAGAGTCCAGTTGAGGCTTAGCATGTGGAGGCTCAAAGAGCTCCAAATTATCAAGCACGGCAGAACTTTCGTCAGCAGCAGAAGAGGAGTCATTGTCAAAGAAAATAGCCCTCTTTCTCTTTCTTGAGCCTGTAACATAAGACAGAAGTTCCTCAGAATCAAAGGCTGCAGCTTCCATGTTGTGGATAGTGATGACATCAGAACTGAACGGGAGCTTGTCCTTGTCCTCTTCTTGCTCTATGACGGAATCAATCTCAGTCTGTTCATTGTATGCATCAACAGAGAGGCCTAGTATTTCAAAGATATCCTCATTTGCATGAGGAGAAGGTGCTGAGAAATCCAAATTCTCAAGAAGCTCCTCAAACGTATCGTGAGGCACAGAGGAGGATGGATTCTTCATGTTGCTGCTGTCATCAGCTCTGTTTGTCTCATCCACATTAATGCCAAGATTCTTCACATTATCCTTTAAGCTGGCAGGCCAGAAGGGCTGTGGAAGGTTGTAAACACCTAATAATTTCAGTGGACCAAGATCCTGTAGATTTGGGGGATCCCAGATCAAATCTAAAAATAAAAAACATAATAAGCAACCCAGTATCTTTTTAACCTTTGTGCTGATATATCGGTGTGATATTTTTGTTGAGAAGTTACTTTCAGGTGTGATAACACCAGATGGGGTCTCAATTGCATCAGATCTTGGAAGGGCCAAATTGTGGCTGTTAGATGGCACCTCTGCTCTGTACTCCTGTGAGGGAGGAGGTGGAGATAGTGGGCATGGAGGTGCCATGAAGTCATTTTCTTTCATGGCGGGTCCTTAAAAATTACACAATGCCATTTAATTTAAACATGCAAAAATCATTCAATGAGATTTAAATTATCAATGTAGATACATTGAAGAAATGTTATTAAAAAAAAAGTTATTAATAATCATAATTCATATAAGATCCACTTTGGATGAATGATTGAAAAATAAGTGATAATTAGCCTACTAAATAACTTATTACTTATTTCATAATTTACTAATACAGAAAGCTGTTTTGAACTAAGGGCCACTTGCTGATAATTCATTTGATTTAAATCAGCCAGTTCAAGCAGGAAATCATGTCCTCTTACCATTATTCTGGCATATTTGAGGTGGTGGAGAGCAAGAAGGCTGCTCGTTCCCTGGCTTGGGCTGGGAGCAGTCGAAGGAATTCATTGAAAAGTATATATTTGTGAAAAAATTTGCTCTCTCATATCAGAAAAGACACATGTGCTCATTTGAAATTGTTAGCAGCCCAGTTAGCCCTCAATATTCTCATCGGCTATTAGTATGTTGAAACGTTCCTTTTATGATATCATAGTTGCTAGTTAAATGGTTGCATACACTCTCTTAGAAAAAGTTAAAAAACAAACAAAAATTTAGAAAAATACAATGCAGAAATATAGAGACAATATACAGAGTACAATTGCCAACAGTTTTTTAATTATTGCATGTTAAACATTTTTAAAATGTTATCTTAAATATTTTTATTTTAAATGTTTTGCATAAACCATTTTAAGGAGTTATAATAATAATAATAATTATGCTAAAAATATCTTTATGTCAGCTGTAGCTATATGCATACACAGTTTCATTTCATTAAAAAAAACATTTTAAATATAAAATTCCATACTCAATCATGAGGGTAAACCAAGGAATAAGTGTGTTTTCTGAGATTAGTTGATTGCAAACATCCATCTAATTTAATTTTAATTAACTGAAATTGCTTTCACAATCACATAATCACATAGCATAAATTATAAAGCCATTTGGTTTTTATTTATTAAGCTTTTCGTTATTTCGTTTTTTTACATATTTGACCACATCCAAATTCATAATGAATTAATTCACAATAAAAAAATTCAGTCAAAAACAAAAAATGTAAATTTAATTCAATTAATTTCTTACTTTTATATAACACTGTATTGCAATTGCATTTTAAGGGTAAAAATTACATTAATAAACCAGTTTCAGATACAGAGGAGTTTGCATAACCATGCTAAAACAATAACTGAGGAAATGTCAATTGTGATACACAGTAGCCCTATTGTGCATATTTTCATAAAATAGTGTTTTGAATGAATCACAATAATAATAAGGCACTGCAAATTTCTAATAGCTAGTGTGTACATTATATGTTACATATCTACAGGCAAAAAAAATGGTTTGGGGAAGATTTTAAAAACAAATAGCCTACTGTATCTCTCATAGAAACAGTCTATTAAACACATGTAAGTATCCTACAGAGGGAGTCATGTTCATAGTCTGTAAGTCTACATTCTGCCTGTTTACACGTTTCCTTGGTGCTCTTACCCAGACAAAACCAGGGAATATAAATTTTCCATGAGATCTTCGTCTTCATTTGCATATAATATTCACAGCTGGACATTATTCAGTAAATCTATACATACACACATTACACAACATATATTTATATATTTATTGTGAGTGACAGGGTTTTGTTGTCGTCTCTGAGGCAGTAAATGGTTCGTCATAGATTTTGGCAGCTCTCTTAGTCAATTGATATTTGACATAATATCGTCAAAGCTAATTTTCAAAACTGACATCTGTTTCTGTTCCAGCGCAGCGCAGCGATGATCTTCTTGAACACACCAGATTCAAGCATTACTATACTGAGTGATCGTTTCACAACATGCCTCTCTCTAGTGGCCAGCGTTTCAGTTGTATTGTTTCTACACGAGAGCAGCCTATCCTTCATGCACGCCCACTGTCTGTTACACAAACTTATATCATGATTTCAAGATCACTCCGGTCTTGAAGGCCATCGAGACGTCTCTCTTTACATAACATCGAACAGCGCTTCAACCTGTCAATTCAGGTAAAGACAACAGCGTTGTTATTTAGTACATCAGGCAGTTTGCTTCGCTATTTTCTCTTATTAGTCCGTCGTTTGAGTCTGTGAACAAAATTCCAACCTCTTCATAGCGCGCGTTAAATAATGTTCTGCTGAGCGCGTGACTAACATTATGCAAACCCGTCTTGCTGTTTAACATTATTTGCACGAAAAAAAAATCTATGTGGGTCTTTGCGACGTTCTCATCACTATCTTGTACTGTACGTGCGTGAAGTCGTTTTCCCACAGTAGGACCAACTGAACTGGCAATGAACCAAAACCTTCTTGTTTTAAATCATTAATTCTTAATAAATTATTGGAAGTTCAAACAATTTAATTTAAAACAGACAACTTTTCGATCGTGTACGATAGCATGTTTAATAATAAAAAAATTACAAAATATGTATTTGGACAGCAGTTCAACTTTACTGATAAAATCTACGTTTGCTATTTTTTATCATATTAGTTTGTTGTACTAGTTTACCTAACAGCTATAGCATACTATTATCATATTTTATTATTTTACTGATATTTATTATTTATATGTGAGAGTACTTGCATCAAGCTAATGTTGTACGATTGCATTTATTGCAGAGAAGGCTGTTGTCCTAATTTTAATTACTGCAAATGAGCCCTGAGCTACTGTTGGCCTCCTTGTCTCGCATTCTGTGGAAATAAGTTGTCAAACTTGAAAGTTGTACAGACAAGAAGGGTGCAGAGCAATTACTCTAAAACAAATGTGTTGCATAATGTACACAGGCAAATGCTAGGCAACCTTAATTTGTCATTTTGCATTGAAAGGATGTGGATTCCTATGCTGAGTTTGACTGCCCTTCCACACCTTGGTATATTTGGAGGTTTCATCACACGGAAGGAGGTGATGACCTGGTACACCACGCTCAACAAGCCCGCATGGAGGCCACCTAATGCTGCCTTCCCAATAGTGTGGACCACTCTCTACACTGGCATGGGGTTTGTTTAAACACTTCCCACTTACTATAGTATATATCTGGCACTTATGCATTTAGTAACTTTGAAGGAAGTTGTAGTTAGGTTTAAAAGTTAATGAGTAACTAAAGGTACCTCCAGACGGTGTAAATTATTTTCTCTTTTTTTAAAGCTACGGTTCATACCTTGTGTGGAAAGAGCTTGGAGGCTTCACCCAGGATTCACTGGTACCACTGGGGCTCTATGGGATGCAGTTAGCGCTTAATTGGGCCTGGACCCCCATCTTCTTTGGCGCTCACAACATTAAACTGGTGGGATGTTATAATGAGTTTCAAAAATCCTACTGTTATTTCAGTTAAAGGGGTGGTTCACTGTGTTTTTTCTAGGCTTGATTGTGTTTATGGGGTGCAGTCTAACATGTGTTAACGCTTCATTTTTTAAAAAACGCATTATTTTTCACATAATTTACCTTTATTCCACACCTCTCTGTCCCTTCTCTGAGAAACGGGCTGATCATTTCCTGCTTTTATGAAGCCCCTCCCTCAGAAATAGGCGATGGGCTCTGATTGGTTAGCTAGCCCAGTGTGTTGTGATTGGCTAAAGCATGTGCTTCGGTTGTATTGTAAACAACTGCATCGTTAATGCCAGAATTTTAAAAGACGATATCTCCGTTTGCATTGGACTTTCAGTTTTGTAACTTTGCAGATATTGTTTATGCTCAAACAGCAACATTAGACACTAACGTTAAAAAAGTGAAATCGCAATGAACCACCCCTTTAAGAGGTAAACCAGGAACCAGTTTCTCTGCATATGGTCGTGAGATAGTATCAAGAGATTTTTGTGAAAACTAATTTACTCACCCTAATGTTATTCCAAACCTGTATGCATTTCTTTCTTCTGATGAACACGCAAAGATATTTTGAAGAATGTTACCAAAGAATTTCGTTTCCCATTGACTTCCACTGTATTGTTTTTTGTCCCTACATTGAAAGTCAACGTTTATATAATATCTTATATGGTTAAATATAGTGGTGTTCTGTTCTTCTTTCATATCCAGGCAATGATAGAGATTGTGATGCTGACTGGCACAGTGGCAGCCACAATGGTGTCTTGGTATCCCATCAGCCGCACTGCAACACTTCTCATGGTACCATACTTGGCCTGGCTCTGCCTAGCTACCAGCCTCAACTACTGCATTTGGAGAGACAATCCAGATCCCAAAAAAGATGACTAAGAGTCCAATAAAACGAACGCTATTCTATTTAACACTGACTAGAACAAAAATGCAACCATGTTTTTTTTTTTCTTTTGCTTGTTGGCCATTTTGAAGTATAATAATGAAGAATTAGTTTATTTTTTATCTTCACTTTAAATTTTGTAATATCAGAAAAATTCACATTGTGGCTTAATTATAAAAGAAGGAAAGGCAATAAAATGAGAATGTTCTAATGCTTCCATTATATAAACTCAGTCCATCAGATCACTTAAGTTCAGCATTTTACACAGATCACTTTACAGGCTCTTTTGCTTGCTTCCTTGCCTATTTTTTACTAATAAAAATGTTTTCATGACTTGGTTTCTTGGAAGGAAATTAGTTAAAACATTGTACATGGATTGTTTTTCAAACACCAAGCTCTGGCCTTAAACCTGTGTGGCTTTGCAAGGGTGGTGGTTTGGCAAAGTTTTTATCATCTAGCTATCTTTTGTGAACATATTGTATGTCATGGCACAGACCATATTATCAATATCTGCCAGGAAATTCCCCAGTGTGCATTAGCTTTACGTTATATCACTTTTCTGTGCAACTTTATATTACTCAACTGCACTTCAGCAGTTATTCCATCATAACCCTAAATTATTTTTTAAAATAAATATTATAGTTATTATAAATGATAAAAATCTGATTTATTTCATACTTTAATCACCACACGAACTTTAAAATGGTGCACGCAATCAGCCAATAAAATGTTCACAAGAATATATTAGGAATAAATACCTGTATAACCCTCAAAGAAGCTAAAACCCTTATTTTTTTAACTTTTAGATAACCATCTCTTCAAAATACACTCATCTAGAAAAATATATATAGTCTTAATGATAATAAAATAAAGGGTGTAAAAACAGTATACATATGAGCAAAAACCATAAAGAACGTACATAAATCAGCATGGCTTTTATCCAGTGAAATCAAAACAAGAGAGATACTTATACGGGAAATACAAAAAGTATTTATCTGCATTATGGATTCCAGAGAAAGAATATGCTATAAAACTGAAAAGTAATATTCTGTAAAACTGAATATTGTTTTTACTTAATTATCACATTTCTCCAACTTTAACACAGCTCTCCAGATACCATTAGTTTTACTTCTTGGAAGTGTCTGTTCATCTATCAACATGAAGAGAGCTACAGCTGTTAGAAGTCAATATTTAGATAGACACCTTAATTGTTTTATTTGAAAAGGTGCAAAGGGGAATAAATAAGATCTGTGCAGTATGATGATTATTTTTCAGCTTTTTCGGGGGTTCCATCTTCAGGTTTGGAGGAGAAGCGATCCATTAGTGTCTTCCACAATCCTTTCTTCTCCTCATCTGTGTGCTGCATGTTTCCTGCAAAACAAAGAAATGACAAAAAGTTAAATGCTGATAAAAAAAAATGTACCACTGTTTCCACAAACTGTTTTGATAAGAAATATAATATGCCAAATCAGCATATTGGAATAATTTTATGTGATGCGTAATGAGTAATGGCTGCTGAGAATTCAGCTTTGCCATCATAAGAATAAATTTGAAAACGGTTATTTTAAAACATATTTTTCATCAAATAAATGCAGCATTGGTGAACATAAGAATTAAACTCAAGAAATCCTCACCTGTTGCCAATAGCATTCGGCACTCTTCTACTGTTACACCTGTAAAACTTGTATCTTTTGCCCGTGGAAACTGAACACAAACAAACCAAAACATTATGATGCTGTCACATTATGAGGCTTAGGTCAATCAAATTAATGAAACGAAAGGCATTTTAATAAAAACATAAAAAATGTGAGGATAGGTGTTTAAACAGAATAAATCCAAATGAACTCATACTATAACTATTTATTCCCCACAGAATATGCAAGCTATGCATCTCTTTCAAAGACAATAAAAAAAAAAAAAAACACATTTCCAAAAAATACAGGTCAGTTCAAATAAATCTAATGATAATTTAATTATGCTCTATCATGTGGATGTCTCTGTTATCCATAAAGGTTTAGACCTAGAATCATTTAGAAAATGTGGCTCACCTTTTCTTTGTACACATTACTGTTGATGCGCGCCAGACTTTCATACATCTGATCACATTTCTCTGGATCTGAAATCTTAATTGAAACATAAGACAACATAGTCAATGGTGCATTAGATATTTGTATTGTTGCATAAATTATTTTGAGAAAGGATATTTACAAGAAAACATAACATACTAGACAATAAAAAGGAAAAACCCTTCAGAATAAGAAAGAGCTTTATTGCCAAGTGTACTTGCACACACAAAGATTGTTTTTATCATTTTATTTATTAATATTAATATTATTATTATTATTGTGGTAATGAAGCTTCCACTGTACACATATAAATTCAAGACACTTAATGGAAACTTTATTGTAAAAACTAACATATCCAAATAAATATCATGTTTGTGACTATCTATTGAAAGCATTAATACACAATATGAAAGATGACATTTGACTTGTCTAACAACTTGCAATGCAACACGGGTAAATCGTGCAGTAATTCACTCAAGTAAAAACAATACCTGTGTATTCTCGCCTTCTCGGAAAGCGCTAGCGACTCTTTGCCGTAAAAATGTTCCTAAATCTCGCCCTTTCTTTGACTCGTCCTTTGGCCATTCCTCGCATAGCTTTAGAAATCGACGGTATCTGGTGGCAGCCATGTTTTAAGCACAGGAATTGTAGGTGGTGTGTTTCACAACTGCGCTGTGTTGAAAATCTGTAAACCGTGGAGGTCAAACGCTACGGCGTTTCAAAATTGATTACTTAACACAGGAAACCGCCTGTCTGTCAATACGGTTTGTTCCAGTTGAGGATCCGTAGCGCGATACTGTTAACCTCGTGGGTTGCCGTAGAAATCTCAAGGTAATATCAAAGAGCCTCTGGCTTGCTTGGCTAATACAAATTTATCCACAAATAAAATGAGTGGAAAGAAAACAGATGGGCAATCAGGTGGTGTCATGGGATGGATAAGCTCAACTTGCCGTTTCGTGGCGGACAGAAATTATTTCAGAAGGTTTGTTGTTTTAAATGATGTACGAAGCTTAAAAACGACGCGAACATTGCTGTTGCGTGCAACTCGTATACTCGAAATCATATTCAAATGTATAATTTTAAATATTTGCCAGCATGTGACCATCTCCTTTGTTTTATTGTTGTAGAAATCTCCTTGTAAACCTGGGTTTATTCGCAACGGGTGTTTGGGTCGCAAGAAACCTTTCAGATTTTGACTTGATGTCTCCTCAGCCAGTCACGTAGTTCCCAGTCCGCAAAAAATTACTTTAACAGGTGAAATAACAAATCTTGAAAGCATTGTTCACTCCTAAACCTCTAAAATAGATCAGAGTCTTAACTCCGTCATTTTGTCTTTTCATGATAGGTGGTGCTGAAATGGAAGAACACACATTTTCTACCGAGGGTCTTGTTGAACAAGCCCATTCAACACTGAAGGGAATAAGTTTAAGCAATTGGATGATCACAACTGTAAATTTCTTCTGTGCATTCATTGTGTTTTGTTGAAATAAATCTCACGCTGAATCAGTTGCTTACAGTCTTTTATTTAAGAATATACATATTTAAACTATATTCAAAAAATTAAAATGTCCATTACAGTTAGTATTTTAGAACACTTCATGGTGCCCATTTCTTTAAGAGCATCCTGTGTTGCATTTCCACACTTGTGGTTCTCTATTTTGAAGAGAAAACTTTCATCCAGGTCTCTTTTTCTAATCTGAGAACACACAATTATCATTTTAGAGTTTAGCTTTCATAGGAATTTAAAATTCGCAAACAAAATCTTCACTCAAGATGAATACTTGCATTACACAATATATTGTATTGCCAAGACAAGCAAGTCACCTCGTGTGTGCAGCCAGTATCAGGGCAGTGGAAGATCTACTGTGGTTCTTAGTCAGACGGAGCAGGAAGGATTCAGGAGCTAATCCCAAAATCGTTGTTTTGATTTCCTCCACATGCACATTATCAGGAAATAGTGCATGGTCCTGCACAACAAACCTGTGTCCACTGAGTGGAGTATGAAAAACAATATTATACACCAAAAATAGGTAATTGTAAGTTCTGCAAACTAGACGCTCAGTAAAATAAGATCTTCTAACAAACCATACCTTTTAACAGAGAGGAGCAGAAGATCATTGAAAAGGTGTATGTACACATCTTTGCGAGAGACTATAGAGACTTTGTAACTGCCACCAACAATTAGATGCTTCAAAGTTCCTTCTTGAATCAAATGTCGCCCTCTGGTGATTAATGGAATGGACTGAACAGAAAGAAAAGTGGATTAAAAATATGGCAGAAAAATAGGAATTACATTAAGATATTTTATACCTTAACGTTTCCAAAGTCCACTAACTTGTCCAAACAAACAAGCAGCTCTGTCCTCTTCATTTGTTGGACACTTCTGTCACACTCTTCCACTATCTATACATTTAGATGCATTCATTTGTAAGGTAACATGATTTACATGTAATACTGATCAGCATGCAATAAATTAGTATCCAATTCTGATCATTTTTTATTCAATTATTATATGGGGGGCATTTACTATTTTGAAAGCAAAAGCATGATAAAGCCTACCTTACGTACAGCTTCAATGGCTTCCGTCAGATTACGGACATTAGAACAAACACCTTTAGATCGCTTGAGGATGTTCTAAATCAAATAGCATAAAATGTTCATGTTCACTAAACAATGATAACAGGAAGTTCTCTGAAGAGTCTGCACATCTCTCTGGCCTGTATAAAGGAAAGCCAACCTCAAGTAAGAGTGTCATTCTTGTGATCCTCTGGAAGGGAAGAATCAGGAAAGACTTGAGCGTTTGTCTCTGGCATTGTGGACCTTTCTCTAGTTTCTTCAGGATCGGTGCAAATTTCTTATTTCCCTGCCTGGTGTAAAATGGTAATTAGAACGCAAACATGCCATAAAATTAAATTGATATGCTCAATATGGAAGATACATGAAAGCAGGACAAACAGCAGCTGAGTGATGAGAGCCTCCTGGTACATCATGTTGGTGATATACGGCACATAGACTTTTTGGAAGCCTTGCTGGTGATTCAAAACAATATCACCAACCTGTGACATCACCACATGCTGCCCAAGATGGGACTCCATGTCCTGCAGAAACCTAAATTAACCAAAATAAAGTAATTAGTTATTATATATAGCCATGAAGACTGCATTATTAAAACAGTAATATTGTTTAATATTATTAAAATTATAAATAACATTCCTGCTTAAATGTTTTTAATGCATTTTAAATGTAATTTATTCTAGTAATGGCAAA